TTAACAAAATGTATTAGATTTCGTTCTGCTATGTACAACAAATCGAAACGACAAGCGTGAAGACGAACAGGGCAACAAAAAAACGTACACGAAGGCTCTACGTACAAATCTAATGTGTGAACGCCGCCAGAAGGCTACGGAATTGCGAAAAACGGACAAATACACTATGGACAGCAGGCTTTTCGCCGTTACGAGCTGGGATAGGGTTGGAAAGGTCATGTAAGGTGTATTTACGTTTTGTTAATCCTTAACAATACTGACCGCATGCTATACATGGATATTTTAGCGTTCTAAATGTAGCAACCTTCGCATATCCGGGTTTCCGCTCTGGTGAGTTCGAAACATGGGCGCCATTTCCTTTTAAAAAACTGAGCGTAAGTATAGTTTCTCAAACTACAAAATATCCGAGCACGTACTCACCTCCCTCAATCAGCTTTACAAGTATTCGGGGTGCTATGCACCCCTTGCAGCCGCCATAAACAATGATGACCAAGAGCGCGTGCATACGACGTTGGGTGGTGAGACTAGGGCCTTTTGTTAAGAGTTAAGGGATCCGCTCGCCGCGGGGCCAAGATCTCAGAAGAAAAAAAAGGGCCACAAATCTATAAAAAAAACACAGTTTGAGTGGTAGGCGTTGACCAATGCAACGTAAATGTGTGCTTACCATGATTTAGCGTGCTCGAGGTGCTACGCACCTCTCGCCATAAATGACGACAAGTGAAAGCACATGCATACGACGTTGGGTACCACCACGGCCTTTTACTAAGAGCTGAGGGGTCCGCTCGCCGCGGGGCCAAAACCTCAGTAAAACAAGGCATGAACCTTCGAAAAACGGGGTGTAAGTGCGTAGTTTGAGTCCCATAGCATAGGCGTGTACTGACCTTCGTTTTGAAGCCATCTGAGTGCGTAGCGCGGACGCCGTAGACCACTTTCAAAAGATGCGGTCTGTGCGTGCAAAAGGTAAGTTAACAAAAGATTACAATGAAGACACTTACCGATGGATGGAACGTCTAGGGGTTGTTACGCGATGTCGAGCACGCATGTCCTGCTTCCATTTTACGAACCCCGGGTTATTCGAGAGGGTGGTGGTCCGTTCATCATAGACCTGACTGCCTGGGAGGAAAAAGCGGTGAGTGCCCGTGAATTCATGCTGGATAAGCGAATACTGACCTTCACCTTTGCATAGACTTGATTTACAATAACTGGAGTAGTGTTCGTAAGTAAACAGCTCATGTTGAATGGAATATTAACGTACCTTTCATCGAAAACTCGTTAATCAGCGAGGGAAGCGTCAGACGATCTCAATTTCAAGTGGTGAGTAAGTCGCGCTCATCGTGGAGAGCAACATTGAGAGGCTTACCTTGCCATAAGTCTGTGTATGATCACGATGAGGACAGTGGTGATGACGAAGGCCGCGGTAGTGAGGAGTGCGAGATGGAGCGGAGGATGGAGGAAATAATAGAGGAGAGGAGGGGAGGAAGGGAATGGACACTTGACAACAAAATCACCCAGCTTATATAGAATTTGGAAAGGGCTGTACGGGCGTATCCGGAATAGTACGTACCTATCAGGGAATGGAAGATTTGACGGATGTGATTAGAATGAATTGCGTTGGCAAGTTCGGAATTGGTTGATCGGAGATACATGCCGTGTGCTATTTACTGTATCTTCACCCTTCCGTTATCCATTTTATTCAACGATGGTAGTAATTATATTATATTTCTTGGTATGTGAATCGGTAGAAATGAAAATGTAACAGTGTATCTTCACGCATACTTTCGCGTACATGTGAAAGTGATTCTGCGCACATACTAACAAAGAATTACAATGCTTGGGATCGCGCTGCTGAAAGAGATGGAAATTCTATGAGATAAAAAGTTCCATGGCCATCTAGTACTCTGCAGTAATACCACCAAAGAATATCCGATAGGGGGATAGACGAAAGTGGACAATTGAATAGTAGAAAACGGAGGACGGCCTCCTACCCACCTTCAAACGAAGATTCACCGCAAAGATCACACAAAAGTGCCGGGTGAAATGTGTTTGGCCTGTCAAGTAGGACCCTCAGTAAATAGCGAAGTCAGACGTTAGTCACGAGAAAGTCACCAATTAGAGGCTGTCTGACTAAATGTCGTTTTTTTTAAGCGTTTCTGACTACGCTCGTACTACAATAGTCATATATTAGTCTTACACTCAGTCATGTACTAGTCATACAATAGTCACATCCCAGTCATTGCTGCTTGGGCCCAATTCAGGATAGCAAATAGGCTGAATCAAATTATATTTGGCTACTTAAAGTATTTCAGAGGATACATGTAGTAGGCATGAAACTAAGTATAGTAGGGGGGAGAGGAATACTTGGGTTTTCGGCACTAGAATAAGAAGAGGGTCTCAGGATCATGTCGGAATAAAAGGCCCTCTGCAGCATGTCGAGTCCATTCAAGTGCTCCAACAACACCGTCGAGCTCGTCGTTGAGCGGTCCATTACCACATCCAATATCCGTCAAATCCTCCGCATCTGAGACCGAGTCGTCGCCATCCCATCTGCACGGGAAATGGGGAGCGAAGAGAGGGAGTCGATGAGTGCGCCACCTGGATTTGAGCAGGGGGCGTTGAGAATGCGGTTGTTGACGAGGATTACCTCTGCGCTCGCCATGTTTTGGTGGTGGTGATGGTGGGCCGTCCAGCCAAAGAGCGTCGACTGTGTCGTCGGTAAGCCTGGTTCCAATGTAACACTTCGTTGGATCGCCGTCGCATTTTCGTGTAATGGATGGAAGTCGGAGGCAGTGACGGCATGTTGGGGGCTAATGACCTTCGTTTCATAGGGGAGTCATTCGCGATGGTGGTATCCTCGTGTGCTCGTTTTGTGCGTTGCATACATCTGCAAAGGAGTGGAATCCGTCGACGAGGAGGTCCGTGGGTGTAGCTGTTCGCCAGCGGCCAGAGTCGTCAATTGAGCAGTTGAGGAAGAGCGTGCGGGGCTGGTCGTCGAAGTGACAAGGTCAAGTTCAAACAGGTTCAAACGTCAAAATAACTTTTCAACGAAGCAATCATGTGACTTTCAACTCGCAACGTTTCTAAGTCCAATGCACCGCAGCCTGCAGCCTCAGAGGCCTCAGCTAGACAAAAATTCTTGGCATAGCCATGTGTAGAAAAAGTATGACGAAGTTGATACTAACCTATGACTAAACTCATCTCCCATTTGTTGCCAAGGGAAGTTTGAGGGAAGGGTGGCGTAAAAATTACAGATGTGTGACGTACACTTGACTGACCTCTGACTTTGTGCTATTTTGCTTGACTTTGCTTTTTACTGAGTAGGACCCTTGATGGTACTAATTTCTGATGTGGAAACTTGGCAGAAAGTGCCCATATGGTTCTGGCACTTTCTGTGGATTCTGGATTCAGTGCGGGGACCTGGAATGAGTAACGAGAAACAGAAAGAAAAAAGTTGAATCAAGGGATGAGTGTGGGTAGAAGTAAGAGTTGTTTGAGTCTAGAGCTAGACCCTTGATAAAAAATGAAGAAGATCGCAAAGAGGCGGAAGTGGAAACGGGGGAGGAGGAGATTGGCCTTTGTTTGTCCGATGCGTTGTCTCTTCATCGTCGACGCGCAGCACAACAACGCAACGCGCTGACTTGATTTCTTTTCCAAAATGTGTAGATACATTACTAGTATTGGATACTTTATTGTTTTTGCGTTGGCAAGTTCAGAATTGGTTGATCGGAGATACATGCCATGCGCTATTCACTGTATCTTCGCCCCTGCGTTATCCATTTTATTCAGAGATGGAAGTAACTAAGTATATTATATTTCTTGGTATGTGAATTGGTAGAAATGAAAATGTAACAGTGTATCTTCACACGTACTTTTGTGTAAATGGCAAAGTGATTCTGTGTGCATACTAACAAAGAATTACAATGTTCCGGATCGCGCTGCTCAACGAAAAGGAAATACTACAAGATAAAAAATTCCATGGCCATCTAGTACTCTGAAGTAATACCTTGAAAGAATGTCTGATAGGGGGATAGGCAAAAGCGGACAAATGAATAGTAGAAAATGGAGGACAGCCTCCTACCCACCTTCAGATGAAGATTCACCGCAAAGCTCGCACAAAAGTGCTGGGTGAAACCTGTTTAGCCTGTCAAATAGGACCCTTGATGGCGCTAATTTCTGATGTGGTAACTTGGCAGAAAGTGCCCGTATGGTTCTGGCACTTTCTGTGGATTCTGGATTCAGTGCAGGGACCTGGAAGAAGTAACGAGAACCAGAGAAAAAGAACTTGAATCAAGGGACAAGTGTAGGTAGAAGTAAGAGGTAATTAGGTCTAGAGCTAGACCCTTGATGAAAAATGAAGAAGTCTGCAAAGAGTAGGAAGTGGAAACGGGGGAGGAGGAGATGGACGTCTGTTTGTCCGACGCATTGTCTTGATCTTCAACGCGCAGCACAACAAAGCAACGTGCAGACTTGATTTTTTCCCCAACATGTGTAGATAAACTACTACTATTGAAATCTGCATTGTTTCAATGAGTTCTTTTTGTTCATATAATGTGGTAAAGATTGTGAAAATTAAGGGTAAATTCACCCAATACAAATGAGTGACTGTATTTCTTAGCATCGAGTCAAATGTAAACTAGTAATCAGAAAGCTTTACATTCTATCTATTGTAATGTGTCATGAATTTTCATATAGGTTGGGATGATTCCAAAATTTGAGGTTGAGTAATGTTTGATTGGGCAGGGTGAGCGGGATCAGTGACGGAAATAGGGTTGCTTGCCCAGGCCGTCGCAAAAATAACCAACAAGTCAAAATTTTTCAACCAAGCCAAAAGATTGTCACATACCTCGCAGATCCCCGCAACACTTGGCATTTCAGGGTATAAAGGCTCCCAGAATATTTCGCCACTTTTATCCTTCTCCCCACTTCCTAGGGTGGCATAATGCCCCTACTCCCTATGTTCTATTTTTCATGCACTCTCTTTGTTTCAAGCATTGATGAGGTCATATCAATCCATACAGGTATGAACAACGATACAATGTCTTATTCTTCTCAATGATTATTTCTATGTCTATGCAGATCATACACCAACGTATCCTACTTCGCACCTGCAGCAAGCAGACAGTGGCCCATAGTCAAAGCCTCATAGTCCAGTGATGAAAACCTTTGTTGGGTGGCAGACAGTGTTGGGCAGTGCGAAGCCCCGCGATGATGTCAAACGTTCTCAGATGAATGCAATGTAAGTCGTTTATTTTTGATAATGCCAGAATTATACTTACTGGGTTTTCGTAGAGTTCTCGTCTGCTCGAGCATTCGCTGCTGTAGCTATTGTTGGCCACTGCCAATATATTCACATCACCGTTTCTGGCGTCAGCAACAACTACCTCAACATTGACTAGACGTATTGACCTCTGGGGTACATTGACTCTGCAAAGGTATGTTGGTGTCAATGAATGTTCGAAGAAGCACAACTGACTTACTCTCATTGTTAGCTTCCCCTGGTCCCGCTTTCGTGTTACCGCCTCCCGCGACATGTCATGCTA